AATATGAGAACACGTAGGAACAATTGTAATTAAATATCTCCTACTTTAATTTTTTCGTTACTTTTTGAAAGTTTGATTGTACACCCAACATAAAAAGTCTGCGTCCGCCCCAGGCTAGGCACCACAACACCCAAAATCATGGTCACATGTAAATAGAGAAAAGTTGCCAACAATGTCAAGACCTTCTAAAAAAAAATATTTCTGCAAATTCTTCGTTTCCTACCAAATTTTGGAAAAAGGATTATTATTCAATGTCTGGTTAATTTGAAGAGAATTAAATGAGTTAGAATGAGAATTAGAAGATAACTAATTGGTGGGGTTGCGTATAGGTCATTGGACGAGAAGAACAAGTCAGTGGCCGGTGACAGTTGCCAGCACTGTTTTTCTGGTTTTTGGTTTTTGGCATAGGTGGGGGTTGGAGGGGGTGAGAGTTGAAGAAGACGAATAGTTTATTCATTTATTTTATTTTTTTGTTTTTTATTTTAATTATTATTTTATTATAGAAAATTTGTAAATTTAACATTTTACCCTTTACTTAATTTGTCAAGTTGAGTCAAAATTTGAATTTTCGAGTTGACTAACGAAATATTGGACGGATTCTGTTCAACGGACTTCAGATGTCGTTAAAGTGAAAGGTTTGAGATTGTAGTCGCAAAAATAAAAGGTTAAAGTGTATAATGTAATAAATTGAAAGGTTTGGAACCTCTATTGCAATTTTTCCTTGAATTTATTGACTCAAGAAGAGCAGGTCATACTATGAAGAATAGCTAATAAAGAAAAAAAAAATCTTCGGACAAGAATAATAATAATAATAATAATAATAATAATAATAATAATAATAATCATCATCATCATCGTTGAGGTAGCATTTTCTAGATTAATAATAAAAAATTTAGTGGAGTTGACGATATAAATGTTGATGATTATGATGAAAATCAACATATGGTAGTAATTCGTACAAAATTATCGACGGAAAATTATTGATGATCATATATGCTCCTTCATCAATGATTATCGATGACAATTGTTAGCAATCACTAATGGTATTTCGATCATTGATCAACAACAAGAAGTCGTAGACATCATCGACACAAAATTTGATTCTTTCATATCTTTTAATTTTTTCATAAGTTACCAAGAAATACTTCAAAATATTTGAGCAATTTAAAAGATTTAGCGATTGACGAAACATTATAAAAGCACGTAAGATTGAACACGAGAAGCAAATGGCTCAAACTTCGAAACTCCGGAATGAACGCAAAGATGTTGGAACTCCATAGGTTTATAGGTACTTTGATCTTCGCATTTAATTTTATGATGTCTTGCTTGCGTCTTACATACTTCACGTATCTAGTAATGAACCTGGCATATTTTGATAGAAATACCATTTTACCCCCAAATTTTTCGAACCACGACTAAATTCACGTTGACAAGCGTCTCCAAGTACTAACTTGCAACTTCCTCCAAGTTATTGTTCGCCGTGTGTATGCATCTTTAAGAAATCCATAGTCGAACCAATTCTTACTTCAAGATCTCAAACCCTTGTGGGAATATTCTAAATAATAGAAAGTATGATTAACGATGAAAAGATACGAAATAGAAAGCATGATCTTCGATGAAAAGATACGAAATTAAAGCTCCATTTTATTAATCTGTCAATGCGTGAGAAATGATCGAATTCTATCTAGAAGAATTGGAAATTGAGTGTCAATTTGCATTTATTGACAATCAAAATCTCATGCTCTTCCAATTGCTTAGTGCAAACCA